GAAGCTACATTCTGTTTCCCTAATTGATTAAGAAAGACGTATTCCACATCCTTAAGAACTGAACTAATTAGCTAATTTTTCCTTTTGGGTTTTCTGTTCAAGATTGGGACCACTGGCGTGATTTTTACATGTTTACAGTAAAATGGCTCTGAATGATCAAGACTAACAAAGTTGGTAGAGAAAAAAGAGTTTATCTTTACCCAAGAGGTTTTGGGTTCTTTTTTTAAATGCTATGAAGTTGTCAGTTCACCCTCACATATTTCATTAAAACACTTACTTATTCCAACGGTGTGCTCTGGGTTTGCTAGTTATATAAATAAATGCATAACCACTTAACTTCCCCGAAATACTGAGATTATAGTGAAACATTTGTTATAATGTGAAAATTGCCAGAAGGGATAGGGCAGAGGTTTTCAAAACAAACAGTTTCAAAGTTAATTCGTGTATGAAAGTTAATTCTCCTGGCAATTCCATTTGCTATAAAACATGTTGTTCATTATTCTTTAATATGTTTTCTTATGTTTAGGTTTATTAATTCATTAAATCACTGCTAAGATCTCTAAGAACTAGATGTAAAACAGAGAATATCCACTAAATTTAGTGAAACTGGACCAAGAAAATAAATTTATAACGTTTGGAAGTCTTGCACAAGAGCTAAGAAACAATGTAAAATAATTCCGTTGTACATGCCACAAAAAGCCTCTTGAGGTTGTCTAGTAGGAGAGATCATCTCATTACAATTTTTTAATATTATTTATATATTTTTTTTAATATTATGCATCTAGGCTTTGACCAGAACTTTATTTAGGGTCAATTGATAATTTATTTAATACAATACCTGAGACCTCTACTTCTGTGTCCCCATAAATACAAGAAAATATGACGGGACCCAAAATTTAGAAGTGAAAGTCAATCATTAACATTCTCAGAAAATTTTTATGCAATGTTTGACAAGTTTTTGTTTTTGTTTTTTTTTTAGTGCCCTATAAACTTGAGGCAAGACCACTTTCTTTTTACAGTGATATTTGTGAACAGATCTACACAGGGCAGATAAAGGACACTACAGGAAGTCGCACTATGAGTCGTTCCTTACATTCTACACTTGATGGGACTCCATCCCAAACACACGCTTGGGTTGTATTACTGAATGGGACAGAGACACAGTCCAATCCTTTCAGTTTTAAACGCTTTATCTTTTAAAAACAAACAAACAAAAGCCCCTGATATTGGACAGTAGCTTTGAATCTCCCTAAAAGATTCAAAGAGTTTGTTCTTGCTGTCTTTCACTGCTTTTAACTCTTTCTAAGGACATTTAACTGCACAGTTGGGTCCCTCCTTGGTCCAGTGATAAACAGTTGCCGCAACCAGACCTAGACCATCTTCCAGACATCTTCAGTGTCCCTTTAATGAAGGACTGCAAGTATTGGAAGCAATTTGAGAAGATAATGCAAAACCAAAGCAGTATGCAGGTCCCAATAAAGCAAAAGGATTAACCACCTGCTTAATGTCAATTAACCTCAGGGGGACCCCTTGTGTACTTTTGAGTTTGTTATGTGCTTCAGCACTTTGCAGCATCAAGATATGAAGCTAGAAGTGGATTCCTTCCCATGATTTGCCACCAGACCTGGAGATGGAATGAGACCACGTGGTGGTCAGGCCACAGAGCTGGTTAATACACAAGCTTTTGAGTGAGTTTTGGCTACAAAACATCTACTCCAACTTTAGCCACCAGACCTGGGTCTCCAGTAATGTTCCCACCATCCTCTTCCCACCAAAGGTGTCATGACTAGCATGACCATCTCCCTCCCATGCAGCAAATGAGCTCTGCGACTTTGCCAACCTAAAAGCAACATGAGCCCTGCGATGCATTTTTTTAAGGACAAATCACTTTCCAAAACTTCTAGGAAAAGGGCAGAATGGGATTGGAGAGGACAGAAGGATGGTCCTACCGCTAAGACAGGACAAAGACAGCATTGCCAGCACTTTAGATGTGACCTTCGACCCAAGAGTTGGGTTTTCTCATCACAAGGGCAGGTAGATGGTAGAGAGGGGAGGGCAAAGAAAATTACAGACCTGATTCCTGGAAAAATGTTAGAACAAATAATTTAACAATTGCTAAGTATCAAAAATGATAATTAGGTGATATATACCCAGCAAACACTGCCAAGAACAACCTGCATGGACCAATCTCATTTCATTTGGTGACAAGATAACCAACCTGGCAGACCAGGAGAAAGACTCACGTGCAATAGATCCTGGCCACACAATACCTTTGTGCACCACCGAAGGAAAAATGGTCTAGCCAAAGTCACAGTAAAATTAAGCACTGACCCAACGGTCCCTTGAGCACACCCAGAAACATTGCACCTGGAATATGAAATTACCCTCACCCCTTTCAAACCTGGCATTTAATGTCCAGGGCACGGTAAGGTTAATAAAAGCAGCGTTAAAAAAATTTCCTAGCTTGTGGCATTTTAATTCAAGGTATCTGAATTCCCTGACCTCTGTGCCTCCCTGTGTAAGGCAGGTTTTGTTCATTTTCCCCACGAAAAAAATATGGGTTTGGAAAGACAGGTTGAACACGGTAGAGAGTGCACATTGCACACACCAAAATTGTAAGAGTTCAGGGTTTAATTCCTGCTGCTGTACAGTGCTTCCTCTCTGTTTATTTTAGACATGTCACGCTACTTAAAAAAAAATCTTTTGAAGTCATTTCATTTTTATTTAATTCCTCAGGTTAAAAAATAAAAACAAAAAGGAAAAAAAAAACCAACCAAACAACCTTATACTACCTATTTTTCAACTTTTCTCTGTAACACCAATGCACAGCTGAAGCCCAGAGAAGCTTCTTAAAATGAACAGGGGAACACTTGTAGTTTTACAGATTTTGGGGAGCAGAACAAGGATGCAAGATGCAGATGCTGCTGGGGGAGGTCATAACTCACAGCTGCAAAGCAGGGACAAGGCTTATGCCTCCACTTGCTACTCCTCACTGTTCTTCAGTGGCTGTGGGATGACACTGTCAACCCCCAAAACTGCTACACTCCAAGTAATCCCGGTGGTCTTCTTTGTGACACACCTTAGGGTGTCATGCACCCTGGTTAAGGATAAAGAACATTTGAGTTTTGCTAAGTGTGACTTCTCATCCCTCCCAACAATTTCCAATAGAAAAAAAACAATAATAAAAAAGCAGACTTGCTTTTTTTCAAGAAATCCTGGATATCCAGCAACACCATCAAAAGCAGAGTTTGAAACAGATGTCTGAAACCCAAGAGTCCCAAGCAAACCAAATTCCCCAAAAAATTGCTTCTGAAACTCCTCTCAAAAGTGCTGCAAACAGAGCCTGTGGGTTTCTCTAACTGGGCTGGTCAGTGAGGGCAACCACCACGGGGAGCTACACAGGTTCAGTTGTAGCATCTCTGATCAAGACACACAGAAAGGAGAAGAGTTTCCAAAAAGTTGCCCTTGGCCAATGCAAAACCAAGTTGCCCTTGGCCAACACAACCAGGTTCCTTCCTTTGCAGTCTTTTCCACAGCATCCAAGGCAAGGAACCAACTCATTATTTAGCAAGTCCGCAACCAATTTTGGCTTGCTGGATAAAATTAACCCTGGAGGTCCTTGGAGATGTGTCCATCGCAATACCACCTGAGATGGTGTGCATGCATGGAGGGGAAGCCAGCACTCAACTCCAAGAGCACCCAACTCCAAGACCTAAGTCAAGAAGTTCACTGTCTCCAGCCGAGCAGCCGACTGACTGTGGCTGTCTCAAGAAAGCTGATGTTTCTCCATCAGCTGCTTTTTGCAATCCACAGAGGGTGGCTTTAGCTTCACATCAGTAACCACCAAATGATGGGCAAGCCAGGCACAACGAGGTATCTCTTCAAATATTTAGAGACTGCAAGTGTCTTGAATTATTCTGTGTATCTGCATTAAAAATAGCGGCCCTTTCATAGAGCACAATAAGTATTCATGTTGTTTTTTTTTTTTAACCTAAACTACAATGCCCTGAGTTTCATCATTTGTCCAGCCCACATTTCAATCCTCTTTTCTTATGGTTCTTTCATTGCGCCCAAGTATCTCATTCTTCCTTGCTTTTATGCCTTTAATTTTGCCTCATAGAATAGCCTAAAAATCACTATTTACAACTGAACAGACAACTCGCACTTACTTCAATACCTTCTCCCTGTTCAAAGGAAGAAAAAAAACCACACATAATTACATCCAAACTCGTAAGAAAACAGAAAAGCAAGAGAAATCTCGATGCTTCTTTTATATTCCCCATCCAGAGGGGAACAGCTATTTGCAAAACAACGAAGTGCTTTCTGAAGAACATTTGCAACCCTCAAAACTTGAAAACTCAAGTCAGGCTGCCTTAATGAACATCTCTGCCGAAAACAAAGGCAGTTGAAGAGAGGGGTGATGTTCTTCCCTGGTCCTAAAAAGAAAGCCAGACTAGATCAACCCAGATCAGGACCTACATCAACCGCCCATCTGGATCAAGATCTGGTGCAGATCTGGGCAGCTGATGATGTGGTCTTATCTGCCCATGCCCACCTGGGCTGGCCTCCTGAAGAGTAGCTCAGCAGTAGGCAGGATGAGACCTTACAAACATGCCACAAAAATAGAATCCACAGCCATTTTGCAAGACACCATTTATGATTTCAGCATTTCCTGAGCAAGTTTTTGACCCTGTTGCCACATCCAGGTCTAGAGAATATTCCAAATATCTTCTTCTAGTCACCCAAAACAGCTCCAAACTCCTCGTCAGCGCTGCTTTTCCGCGTTGCAGCCTCAAGTCCTGAGCACAGTAACTCAGTTGCCTCATCACACAAATGGAATTACACAAAAGTTTGCTTTTCACCTTTGAAAATCACTGTCAGAAACGACCTCCGGAGAGAGTGTGATATTTATACACCAGCCACACTGAACATGAGCAAGTAAAACTTTGGTCCCCAGGGACTCAGGTAGAATAAATGACAGCAAGGGATCGATACTTTACCGAGAGGTTGATAGCCTTGTCTCGAAGGGCCTCCAAATGGATTCCTACTCCCAAAGCCACTACCATCAATGGATCCATAAGACATCTTCTAGATAGCAATGGATGCAGGATTATTCTTCAAACCTAAGGAAACAGAGAAAAAGACAGATACAACACTGTTACAAGCCAGTTAAACCCCAGCATTCTAAGAAAGAAAAAGAAAAGAAAAAGGCAAATTAAAAAATATGGGACCATCTCCAAACTTTAGGATGCCCACCTCTGAAAAATAAAAGCATTAAAATCTAGGTCTCCTGGACTACAGCTGATCTTGGGGGCAAACAAGTCATTCGTCCTCCCTGTGCCTTATTTTCTCTGGTGATAAAGGGCAACCATTTATCCGCTTCAGCTGCGGCAAGACTTTTAATTCCTCGCTGTTCACCAAAAGTGCTTTGAGATCCCGAGCTGGTAGGCAAAGACCAGGCACTCAATCAAAAAAAAAAAAAAAAAAAAAAAAGGTAATGCTGTCTTCTGGAACATTACCACTACGCAGCTGGCTGGGAGTCTATCCATCACACTGCACTCTTGATGAGCTCTCAAAAGAGACAGTTTACTGCTATATCATAAGCTCCTGGGCCTCTAGTATAAATATTGGAGCCAGAGTTATTTTTCCTTCCTGGTTTAAAAAAAAAAAAAAGAAAAAAAAAAAGAAAAGAAAAGATAAGGCCTAAGGTAGCAGAAGCAGGACGAAATCAATGCAGCGCTGTCAGAGAAATACGACTTCTTCCCCCTTCTCTGTCCACAGGCTTTTTCTCACAATGGGCCCCAGATGCCCTCCAGCACGTCAGCAGGGTCCCAGGAATTTGATATTAAAAATAGTTCAACTCTAAGGCATGGAAATCATAGAGTCATCAAATGGTTAGAATTGGAAGGGACCTTAAAGATCATTGAGTTCCACCCCTTTGCCCTGAGCAGGGTCACCTCCCACTCAAGCCCCATCCAGCCTGGCCTTGAACACCTCCAAGGATGGGGCATCCACAGCTTCTCTGGGCAACCTGGGCCAGTGTCTCACCACCCTCACAAGAAAGACATTCTTCTTAATATCTCATCTAAATCTCTCCTCGTTCAGTTTAAAACTTATAATGATGACAACAAAGAAAGAGAAGAAATAAAGGTGCTACATCAGTTGGGGCATGATACAGGACCAAAAAAGCTTAAAACTGCTCTTCTGTAGAGAGGTTGATCCTGACCCATCCTTTCTTTCTAGAGATAAGCAAGTGTAAGTATTTTTTCCCACGACTTCCCCAAGGCCACACACAACAAATGTGGAGTGAAAGTCTCCATCATGTTGTAAAATGACTTGATTACAACTGGGCAAGTGTTTCTTTGGCAAATAGTGAATGCATCTATTTTTTCCCAACAGAGTGGTGTGAAAGAGGGAAGGGAAGAAAGGCTTTTAGAGCACTACAAATGTTTCATGTTGATTTATCCATTTCAATGCATGCTTCCATTTTAAAACTTTTTCTCCCTGTAAGGGAGGGAAAAAAAAAGAAAGAACTGAAAATGAAATATTTTGGTTTAGTTTAACCAACCATTTTAGAAACAACCACGTCCCACCCCATCCTACAAAGCCATTGAAATATCCCTTATTCACGCAGCTCCAGAACTACGCTCCTACCCCACAGTAATATATTTACAGGAACATTTAAGAGCGAATCTAAATACCTTTAATTTGATTGGCAATCAAAGCATTTCCCTCTCCATCCCCATGGCACCTCCCAAGTCTTTTGTCTACTGCTCCTCAGGGAGACTTGTCCAATTTACTGTGAAGGCAGTTTGTACAAATTGGAACAAGCATTGCCTAACATACTAGAGACAGGGAAATAAGGGAAATAGAAGAAGAAAAAAAAAAAAAGGAAAGAAAAAAAGAAAGGAAAAAGAAAAACATTTTAGCACAGCTTTATCCTCATCACCTAAAATGCAAACAACCATACCCAAATCCTACTAAAGGGACATCTATCCTGCCAGAGGCATGAATTTGTATTCTTCACTGAAATGGTTGTCAAGCATTGGAACAGGCTGCCCAGGGAAGTGGTGGAGTCACCACCCCTGGAGGCATTTAGAAGATGTGTAGACGTGGTGCTGAGGGACATGGTTTAGTGGTGGTTTTGGCAGTGTTAGGTTGATGGTTGGAGTCAACAATCTTAAAGATCCCTTCCAACCCAGGAAATTCTATAAGCTCTACTCTCTCCATTTATATTTTGATCCATGAGCTGGGTGATGGGACAGGGATTAGCCTCATTAAACACACACACACCACCAAACTGGAAGGTTAGATGACAGCTTCAGCGTTCAGAACAACCCTAACAAACCAGATATGATGTTTGACAAAGAAAATAAGACGCTACATAATTCAGGACAACTGCAGGGACCTGAATTTTGAGGCAGCCAAACAAGTGCACAGAAGGAGAGGGGGAAACAACTGGCCAGTGCTGCAGAGGAGGATGGGGGGATGCTATAGGCTGTGAATGGAACATGAATCTGCAATGACGTTTCCTGGAAAAGTGGCAGACATCATCCTGGGATGTATAAATAGGATTACAATCTTTTGGACAGGTGAAGTAAACCTTTTGCTTGACCCCACACTGCAGAGCCCCCAGCTGTAGGCAACAAGCTCCGGCACAGATTTTGCCAGAGACTGAAGAGAGTCTAGAGGGAACTTGGAGAATGACAACAGGTCAAGAAAACATGGCCTGCTAAGAAAGACGGATTAAATGGGGTTGCTTTTTGCCTCTAGAAGGGAAGATTGATGGGAAAACTTGAGCCGCCTTCAAATCTGTGCAAAGCTGCTGTGAAAAGACAAGGAGGAAAACATTCTCCTCATTTGTGTTGGCCAAGGCAATGGAATTTTTTTGGAAAAACCAAAGCAGGAAAAATGGACTGAGACACTGGGAGAGATTATGAGGAACGATAGAGCACCTCTGGGAACAGGAAACATGAGGAAGGTCTTCTTACAGCTGGAGGTGATAAGACTGGCTAATGCTGGTGGGGGGCCAATACTGGGTCCAGTCACCTTTAACACCTTCCTTGATAACCTGGACGACGGGGCAGAGTGTATCCTTAGCAAGTTTGTTGATGACACCAAGCTCAGAGGAGCGGCTGATAGACCAGAGGGTCATGCTACCATCCAGAAGGACCTGGACAGGCTGAAGAAATGCTCCAGCATCACAGAACAGTTAAGGAGACCATCTAGGCCAATCCCCCTGCTCAAAACAGGATCAGCTAGAGCAGGTTGTCCAAGATTGTGCGCAGTAGGGTTTTAAATATCTCCAAGGATGGAGAATCCACAATCTCTCCAGGAAAACTCTGGCATTTGACATCCATAATCTGAAGTCCCTCCTCGGTATCAAACCAGCCACGACATCAAGGTGTACGTGGTAGCTGTTTATGGGATGAAAAGAAAGGGTCACAGAGGCAAATCTCATCCATTGCAAGAGTGGTTGCAGACACAGAACTTCCAGACTCACAAACAACTTCCAGTCTTGCATTTGCATGCATTATAGGCTGAGCATTCACTCTTCTCAGGTCATGTCCATCACATCATAGGGAGGACCTCCAGATTCCTCAGGAAAGAGCATTAGGAACTTGGCTGTGGGTTCAATGGGACCTTCTGGCAGGCTAATACACAGCTGAAGCCAAGACCAGGCATCCAGATGAATTCCTTGCCCTGAGTTTCACAGTGAGCTGTTGGCGCTGCTGGGCTCCTCACCAGGACTTCTCCTGGCTGGGGAATGCCACCACAAATCAGACTGATTCTGTTTACTGTTCAGCTCTAGAAAAGTAAAATCACAGACCGTTTGGATAATAATTACTTGCCATTAATGAATACAGGGATGGGTGAGAGCAACAGCACTCTTGTAGTCTATTCCCAGCCCTACCATGCCTTGCTGAGGGAGAAGTGCCTTCACTGGGGGCTTCAGAAGTGATTAGCTATGACGACACCTCCATTTCTTTATGACCAACCAGAGATACATTTTTCCGAGGTTTTTAACCCAGGAAATAAAAAAATAAAAAAAAATCCTTGTACCAACCAGCCTGACCTTCTTCGTAACAAGAAATCAGATCATTTCACACAAATCTTCTCTACGCATCCACCCCTCCAGCCTCTGGTCAGACCAGGTCACCTCTTTCCATAACAGCCTCTCCGAGGCTCCACTTAATGAAGGATCAGCCCCAGCCAAGCCGTTAGGAGAGCTGTGTCCTCTCACCTCCTGAACTTGGCTGTTTGATCTCTGTTGCCTCTTAACCTTCCTTCAGATGAACTTAACAGACTGACCCCCTTTCATTTCTTCCTAGGAGACTTGTTTACCAGCACACAAATCACAACAAAGAAGGGAGAATACTCAGGATTGTATTTGCTTTCCATCCAGCTGCCTCTGCTTCCCTGCCTATAAAACGGACAGACAGATACAGAACCCTCCTCTTCACAGGATTAACTTGATTAATATGGACTTCTTCTGAAGCCGTTGAGAGGAAAGGGCATATTTGCAAATTGTGCTGCTTTCCCAAATCCCCTCTAACAGTTTGTTCCCCAGACGCGACTCTGTCACTCGTGTCACAGACCGGCTGCTTTTTAACTTCTCTTCCCAGGGATTTTCTCAATTATTAAAAACAAAACTCAACAAACCTTTATGCCGTTCACCTGCAAAAAAAATGCCCCTTTCCTCTTTCTCAGAGAGTCAGGATTTATGAAGAAGCTCTGCTGTGGAAGCACTACTTTTCCTTTTTTTTTTTTTTTTTTTTTTAATCAATGGTTTTAACATGGAGTTGGTGTAATTGCACAAATCCCCGAGCGCTCGCCGAGCTCTGTAACGCGACTGTCAGAGGTCAATCAGAATAGCTGTAGGGGATGACTTTCTTCTTTTTCAGAGCAGCGCCTTGGAGGTAATTTATGCTCCTCTGGATCTTTTGTGATGTTTGTAATATTAACGTGGTGTTCTCGGGTGGCTTTGAGCAGGCAAGGCGAGGAGGCAGCGCTCAGGAGCTGAAGAAGAGAGCGGCAGGAGAGCGGTCCAGGAGTGATGCTCTGCATGAAGCAGGGCCAGGGATGCAGCAATACACGTGCTTCCTCCCACTTCCCTTCCCAA